GATGAGTTTGAATCTGCTGTGTATCAAGGAATAACTAACTCCATAGCCCTATCCCCGTCCCTCATCTTTCCTTTGCCCCCCCCTCCCCCACCCCGCCAATTTTTCTATATTGTTTGTCTTGGAACTAACTGCGGGTGTTTAATAAGCTCTGAGGTCTGTGGTGTAACAGATAGGCGCTTCGCTGTCGCCAAAGGGCTTATAAGGTGGCCTGAGTTTGATTCCTCAGTAAGAAAATACTGTTATTGAGTTTCTCATGAGATGTTGTATCTTTCAAAACCGGAGTTGGCCCTGGCAGGCCGGGTCAGAAGCCCACCACCTAAATGATGTGTCGATAGGGAGTAAAACGCCTACATTTTCAAAAAGAAGCTCTTACGTTCTTTTTCTTGAACCTACTTAGAAAGGCCTTAGAGCATTAGACTTTCGAGATAATCCGATTGGGTTGGCGATGTTCACTCGATCCAGTTGGCCTCGTAGTTGCAGCCAAGTTAGCCTTTGACACGAGCCAGGTGGGGAGATTTTGGATTCAAATTACTACACAAACCATGCTAATAGAGTGTTTGAAGTTGTCATCGTCGTTTTTGTTATTGTTGTTGTTGTTGTTTGTTGTTACTGTTGCTGGTGTTGTTGTTTTCGAATTTTTTGTCAAACCATTTTAACTAAATTGCGGTATAATGTTTTTTCTTGATTCGTCCTGGGCGGGGAATTTTTTTCTTTTAATTTTGATTGTAGGCCGAACTTAGTTTTGCTCTGTCTATCTTTGCTTTTTGCAGATGATTTCCTGCTTGTTTGCATGTTTGTTTATCTGTGTATATGTGTGTATTTGTTTGTTCTTCGTGCTCTTTTCCCTTTTTTGCGTATAAAGGACCGGGCTGTGACTTAAGTAAAGAAAAGGAGAAGGAATGTTGTCTCTTTCATGTGGATCCTTCAAGTAGCTGGACACACACAAAGAAAGAGAGAGAGAGAGAGAGAGAGAGAGAGAGAGAGAAAGAGAGAGAGAGAGAGAGAGAAGGGGAGAGAGAAGGGGAGAGAGAGATTTACGGAGA